GGGGTGAGGGGTTGATGCAAAGATTTTCTCTCCTTGCCCTGCCACCCCCAGAAGAATCCGACGTTCACCTTCCAGGACCTAGAACTTCGCAAGCTTGGGTTTCTACCCGGCAGGGGTTGGAGAGTTTGCCCCAACACAGCCCCCACCCAACCAGGAAGCCAACCCGAGTCTGCAGGAAGGCAGGGCGTGGGGTGGGGGAGCCTGTAGCAGGAGTGGCCCCGGCCTGTTTGTGCACTGCCCTGCCGGGGAAGCTGGCTCTCATTTGCTCTAGGGACAGCAGCCACAGCGCCATCGGGCGGAAGCTGGTTCGGGGGCTGGGGGAGTCCGGACCTCTGTCCTGGACAGGTCCGACCCCGCCTCCTCATCCCCGGCCCTTCCCTGAAGTCCAGAAGCTATTCTTGTCTTTTTCTAAAAGAGGCATTCGAAACCATGAGCCAATCTTTTCCATTCTTGGGCTTGGGTATCGTCTATTTCGGGCATTTGTTGTTTTTCATGAGTTGCAAATGCCGCTGCGAAGCAGGCCTTTCCTGGACAGCCAGCGCTGTGAGTGGGGCAGGGCCAGCATTAAAAATACTTCCCATTCGCTTTTTCTTTGAAAACGAGGCCCCGGGGGGTGGGGAGGGGGTTGGGCAACTGCTGAGCCTGGGAACAGAGCTTCTCAGGACAGAAAATTGGCTGTGTTCTGTTTTCTGGGTGCATTAAGTATCTCAGCAGGTCAGCAATGACTTTGCTGTGTGACCTTGTGCAACTCACTTAACCTCTCTGGGCCTGGTAGCCAAATGATCTTGAATGGTCCCTACAACCACCTCCAGGGTCAGGTTCCTTTCCTAGAAGGGCCGACAAGAGCTGCTAGAGGGCAGCTGTAGCTTAGCCTCCCAGAACACTTGGGAACTAGAATGACTTTATCAGGATTCCTGGAACTGGAAAAAATATTAAGGGCCATTAAGCGGAGACTAAATAAAGGAACTGTGTGCATCCCTGCAAAGGCACACAGCCTAGAAGTTACAAGAGAGAGGTCGATCTGTGTGCTAACCAGAAAGCTCTCTAAGGACTGTGGTTGATTGAGAAAGCAAGCTGTGGAATGACACAATTGGCATTGGCTCATTTATGGCTAAAGACACGCATAAAACACACCTATGGGTTTTACTCCACCTCAGATACCTGTGTTTCTGACAGTACAAATGGAGCATTTCCTTTAATCTGATGATGGGCAAAAGAGGGAACTCAACAATTTCTTTGTGAAAAATTTCCCAAGAGAGTGAGTTTATTTATTCATGGCTTGTGTTTCCTCTGGAGAGACACCCACTGTGATATTGGGGACAGGTGAGTCCCTAAGTTGTCCCTAGCTGGGATCCTGCAATTGCAGGAGGGGCAGAGGTGTGTGAGCTGGATTCCTGAGCACTGGGCATGCTTATGATTTCAGCAAGGATTTACTGGCTGTCATGAATTACATTGTATTGCAAACAGTTGCCTAGGGAGGCAATTAAATTTAGATCTTATTATTCCCCCTCGGCTGGGCAGGTGTTGACTTGCTGAGGCTTCCCACAACCAGCCCCTGTCTGTGAGAGCTCAGCGTTGCCACTGCCAGGATGGCAGGATATCCCCGAGCCAAGGTGGGAGGAGCTACTGCTTTGAAAGCCTGTGAGCTCTGCATCAATGCATCCAGTCTAGCAGGGAGGCTTGTTTTGGACCAGTAATGGCAAACCTTTCAGAGATCAAATGCCCAAACTGCAACCCAAACCCACTTATTTATTGCAAACCTGAATGCTGGGCTGCTGGGGTGGTGCTGGGGCAATGTGGCTGGCATGATGACAGACAGGCTCTGTGTACCCACTGTGGCATGCGTGTCTTAGCTTCATCACCAGTGGCCTAGACTGTGACCCTGAGGGCTACAACCAGGTTTCCACACCTAACTTTGGGCAAAGTGTGTGGCAGCCTCAGTCCTTACAGAACGGACAAACTAGGGCTAGAATGTTCTGCTTCCTGATGGCCTCCTACCATAGTGTTCCTGCCACAGTTTCAGGACAGTGGCTTGTAGTCCTGGAAGTGGGAAGCTTGATTACAATCTCTGGACATTTTTACAAATTGACAGTGAGATGCCTGTGACCAAACCTGTAGGGCCTGGCTCTGACAAGCTCACTGATGAGCCACAGCACTACCTGCCCTGGCTGAGCTGGGAGGGAGCTGCCGTTTCAGGGCCAGAGGAAGGGCCTGTGTGTCAGGCAGGACCTCCACACAGTGCCAACAGTGTGGGTGGGTTCTGGGTACAGGAACTCTATTAGGCCCCAATGCCTGGGTTTAACAGCAGCTCTGCATCCTTATCAGTTTTATTACCTGAGCTAATTCATCTCCAAGATCTCAGTTTTACCCTATAAAATGAGGATGACGATAGTGTGAAATGTGCAGAGCTGCTATGAGTATTAAAATCCATCGGCACAGTTTCTGTGAGTTAGGAATGGGGTTCAAGTCATAGCTAGCTACTTGCTGAGATGAAATGCTCTTAAACTCCAAGCCTTGGCTTCCTCCTCTATGACCTGCTCAGCTCCAAATAACTGTCATGGTTGGCTGGGCACCTCCTCTCTGCTCATATTCACCCTCTTCTCCCTCAGTTGGGGGTTGTGCCCTCCTTTCATTGCTCAGCTTGTAGCTGCCACTTAGTCTCCAATGACATATGTGAACATTGGCCGTTAAGGGCAGGCCTGGGGCATCAGGCATTTCTGAACCCCTTAGAGGTTAGGCTCAGGACTTCCTAGTTCCGTCCCTTTTAGGTTGACACTACCCACCTTGGCTCCTAGGTTGGGCTGAGTGGAGCTGGGCCACTTCAAGTCAAAGTCACAAGCACTTTGCTCACCTTGCCCTGCTTTCAGTTCACTGCAGAGAGCATAGAGGACTTTTTTTTTGGTAAGACTCTACGTTTGCCTCTAGAGAAATTGAGATTTAAGGCTCCTGGGTGACTCCTGGGTGCTCTGCTTCACCCGCCTTAGGTAAGGCACCTGTTAGAAGCACGGCCGAGTCTTTAAACCGGTGGTGGGAGCGTGCAACTACAACTCCCAGACTTCCTCGGGCCTAGGGGCGGTCCCTGCTGGCTCTAGAGAACCGACTAGCCAATGGGAACCCAGAGAGGGCCGGGCGGGGCCCTGGCGGGGCGGGACCTTGGGTAGGTGGGCGGTGAGCAGCGCTAGGAGCCAGTTGCGCCAAGAGCGCGGAGCCCGGGAGTCTTGCGCGTGGAGGGTGCTCGGGCGGGAGACTCGGAACCTCGAGGGCCATGGGTGAGCAGCTTGGTGGCCCGGGACAGGGCTCGGCGGCCCCGTGGGGAGGGCTGAGGCTGGAGCGCCGCGACCCCGCGCGGCCCTGGGTGCGGCTTTGAAGGGCTCGTGGGGGGCCGGAGTAGGCTCAGGAGAACCTGAGGCGCCCGGAACGAACCCGGATCCCCTCGCTGGGCGCGGGGAGGCTGAGGCATGAGTGTCTGCGCTCGCGCTTCGAGAAAAAGGAAAGACAAAAAGTTTGGGGCGGCCAGGGGCTTCCCGGGCGCTTATCTCGAAACTGCGCCGTCCAAGTCCCGCGCGCGCTGTCATCCCACTTCCTGCTGCGGTTTCAATCTCGAGCTGGGCTCAGCGAATTTGTTGTGACGGCTGTCACACAAGGCTCCGGCCGGGCCCGGCCCCTTCCCCCCGTGACAGCCCAGCGCTTCTGAGAACCGAGAGGGGGCGCCGCGCGCGGGGCGCTTCCACGCTGTCGCGGTTTCCCGAAAGCGGCAGCGCAGTGTGGAGAATCGACGGTTCCGCTTTCGGCAGTGCCTTGTCCCTCGCGGGCTCCTGGCCCCTGCCCTTCTCTTTCTCTTCTGTCTTCCCTTTTTTTGCTTCTCTCTTCCCCCGCTTCTTGTCCCCTGCCCGCCCTCCTGCCCTTACTCTCTCCTTTCTTCTGCCTTTCTTTCCCCTTCCCTCCGGTCCTAGAAGGGTAGGGGTCTCCGCTTTCTCGCGGCGCCACCGGGGGCGGGGACAAGGCTGCGAGGGCCAGGAAAACGAAGAGTCCGGCCTCTCGTGCAGCCCGGCCAGGGTCACAACCCGGGCGCGCGCCTCTGACCACCCCCACCCCCGGCAGTGTCCGGGGCTCGCTGTGCTGCTACCCTGCCCCTTGCCATGCGCGTGAGCTCTGGGAAGGTTCAGGGTCCCTAGTTCTTGCGCTGTTCTGGCCCTGGATCCCTTGATTTGCCCACAGTCTTGGGCGGTGGGCAGGGTCCTGGGGCCCCGGGGAGGGTGACAAGTGCTTTTTGTCCAGCTCACCGTCACCGTTGGGAACTGCTGCTGGGTGGTGGTGGGGCCTCTGTGCCTACAGGTGGCTTGGCCTCCTGAGGAGAGCTCCAGAGTGTAGTCTAGACCTGCTCCAGACCTAGAACTTGATGTGACAGAGGTAGAAAGGGTCTTAGAGGTAGCCCTCCATCTTTGATTTACAGTCAGAGAAACTAATGCCTCGAGACCAGCTCTGGTCCAGCAGGGAGTGAGGGACAGGTCTCTGAGACTCCTGGCCCTCTCTCCTTGCAGTTTCTTGTTTCCCAGGGTGGTGGCCAGGAGGGCTGGCTTGGAATGACCCACCTCCACCTCCCTCTCGGGTAGTCCTAGAGCATCGTCTAGCTTGGAAAGCCACACAAGGTGGCCGTGGGAGCAAGAGGGGAGTGGGAAGAGAGGAGGCCTGGCAGTGCCTCTGTTATTGGGTGACATCCTGCACATTAACCACCTCCCAGCCTTATTAGTCCTACCATCCAACTTCTCCCAGCCTGGCAGGGAGGGTGATGAAGTTCACCCTGACCTATCCCAGTACAGGGGAATAAGATCTTTTAGGACATCCAAGCTAGGTAAAGAAGTACAGGGAACCAGAGTCGGGGTCTCAGGAGCTGGCAGGCTTCTATTTGGTGTCTCCACATCCTGCTGTCTTTCTTCACTATCTTGGCCCCAGCTGCTCCCAGACCCTGGCCCTCTCCCGATACGCAGGGGGTAACTGCCCCCTGGGGACCTCAGTGCTGGCCCTTGGCTGGTTGCATGTCCCCAAATCTTCCCCCTGGAGCAAGCCCCACATCCCAGCTCTGCCAGGCAGCCGGCTTCTGGGCCTTGGAGTGGACCAGCCGCCTCAAAGACTGTCATTGTTTGGGCTCCAGCTCAAGCTCAGAGAAATTTAAGCCAACAACCTCAGGCGAAGGGGTGGGGCTGTGTCTGCTGGTTGTTACTGAGGCTGCAGTTGCAGCTATTGTCTCGTAATTGATGCAGTGTTCCTAGTTGGTGACTTTTCATGAAAGGAAGTGTCACTTCCTTCCCACTGTACCAAGGGTGAGTGAGGCAGTTAAGGGACAGAGAGAGGAGAGCAAGGTGTGCCTTGCAGCCTTGGACCAGTAGTGTACAGCCGAGGCTGATGGGGAGCGCTTGGGGGCAGCGCAGTACTGTGGGGGAGTAGGCAGAACAGGTAGGTGACAGATGTCACCAAAGGCGTATGCACACTTGGCTGTGGTTTGTAGGAGGAGCCTCATTTCTCACTTTCTTCTGTTTAAAACACTTGCGCATTGAGTCTACCACACCCATCTTGTAGATGGGGAAACTGAGGTACAAAAGCAATGACTGAGTGAGTACAAGATGCACCTGTGGGATGCTAGACCCCAGCCCAACCCCTCTTTCACCCTGCTCCCCTGACCCACGCTGTCTTGCCAGGCAGGGGCAGCTCACAACAGCTGCTAGCTTCCCCATGCCCACTTGCTGGCCTTGCCCACCTTCTTTCCTGGCAGAGTCTGTTCCCCCACGTGGGCTGAGCCCTGTCCCCAGGAGCCTCCCCTCTACTCAGGCAGTGCAGGCAAGGCTTTGAAAGGAATCTCAATAGTGCTTTCTTTCCTCCCTTAAGATTATGGGAACAAAAATAAATTAATTAATTAAAAAAAAAAGATTATGGGAACAATACCCTTATTTGAAGATGGTGGGGGTTCTGAGGGACTCTGAGGCCAGGGAAATTGATTCATAGGGGGCAGGGGTCCAAATCCTAGCTCCAGCCTTAAGTGGGCCCTGGTTGACCAGCAGTCCACACTGACCAGCTCTTGTCAGCAGAGTGACTGAGTGACCCACTCGGGGAAAGTGGACACCTTTGTACCTTCTGAACATAGATGAAGTTGGGGGTCTTCCTGTTTAAAAAAAAATTCCGCCAGACCTCAGGGTTTAGTGCCTTGGAGCAGTCAGACCTCTCTGGCTCTGAATCCTAGTCTACCACTGGGAAGATGTGTGATTTGAGGCAAGTTATTGAACCTCTCTGAGCCTCTCAACTGTTAAAAGGGAGAAATAATATCCACAGCATGGCTGGGAAGATTGGGTAAGGCACATGCAATATGGAATACTACTCTGCTATGAAGAAGAATAAGAGTCATTTGTAGGAAAATGGATGCACCTTGAGACTATAATGTTAAATGAAATAAAGCAGGTGCTCAAGCTTCAATATTGCATGGTTTTTGGGCTGGGGATTTGGATCAATGGTTCCGCTTCCTGCCTTGCAAGCACAAGGGCCTGAGTTCGATCCCTGGTACCACACACACACACACACACACACACACACACAAAATATTGCATGGATTTTCTTATATGAGAAACCCAAGTATAAATAAAGATCAAAATGAAAGATAAGATAGGAAACAGGGAGATAGATTTGTCTTGAAATAGAAGGGGATGAGAGATGGAGGAAGTGGGAGGAGAGGAGATGGAAGGGGGCATAAAAATAATTAGGATGTATTATGCACATGTACTGATTCCCCATGAGGAATGTGATCATTACGTACTACAAACATGGGCTCCTAAAAATTAAAATTAAAAAAAATGAAGATGCCTGACTCATAGCTGGCCAGAGCACTGATTTGAGTTGGTGGAGCACATACTGGGGGAGGGAGGGAAGTTGGAATGGCTGAGAACACACAGGCTTTGGGAGCATTGGTGTGATCAAGTGACCACAGTGCAGCACTGATGTCATTGAGGATCTGGGTGTTGTGCTCTCCACAGAAAGCAGACCTGTAACCCAGGCAGCGTGTGCGGCCTGGGGCTGGCCCCTTGGTGTCCCAGCCAGCTGTGACAAGAGAAGGGCACAGGGCTCATGGAGGAAGCTCCTGCCACGGACACCTACTGCCCACCACTGAGGGAGCAGAGAGGCAGGAAGGATGCAAAGCCTGAGGAAGGGACATCGGGCTGCAGAGGGGACCAGAGTCAGTGGGGACTACAGTCCTGCAGGGAAAGAGGTGATGTCACAAAGATGTTTCTCTCAGAGTAGCTTCTACATTTTTGTGCCAGCCCATCAAACCTGACTTGTTTTTATGTTTGTTTGTTTTTTGGTACTGGGAATTGAACTCGGGACCTTGCACTTGCGAGGCAGGCAGCTGAACCACTGAACTAAATCCCCGGCAGATGGATGTTTTAATAAGAAGAGTCAGGTTGGGAAGCTTACACTCTGAAGAGTAAATTGTTGCACAAAACCACCAAAAATTGAACTATGCACATGGATGCCAGCATCCTACAGTGAAGGGAGCAGGATAGAACATCCAGAAATACTCCCCATTGTGCTCTGTGTAGCAGCGTTTCAGATCATGGGAGTGGGTGTAGGTCAGGACCGCTGGGAAAGCCATGGGAGATGCCTGTCTCCTGCTTCACACCAGAGGAGACTCCGGATGTGTTATGAGCAAATGGTACAGTGTCAGTCACCTCTCTTGTTACTGTCCCTGGGCGGTAAAAGCGATATCTGAATGACATTCCCGTGGAGAGCACAGGTCTTGCTATGTAGTTTAGATTGAATTTGGACTTGCTATGAGTGAGTGATCCTCCTGCTTCAGCCTCCTGCATGCCGCATGCTGGGATTACAGGCATGCACTACCACACCTGGCCAGAACCCTTTTTAAAGATTACTTGGATCTGTAATGGAGCCAGGATATGGAACCTAGATCGATAAATGAGCAGGGAAGGGAAGAATAGATGAGGCAGCAGGACTTGTCCCAAGCCTACAGCAGTGGGAAGGGGTGTGAAACTTCTTTTCACTTTGGAAGCCTCTTTACAACTAAAGATTACCTAGATTTATAATGGAGCCTGGATCTGCAAACCAGATCTGGAACCTGGGTTGAGGAAGGGAAATTAGGGCTGCCGGTACAGCAGAAGGCACCATGGAGAAGTGAGGACAGGACTGACCTGGGCCCCACAGCCCAGGCTGTGGATGTGAGGCCCGAAGTCCCTCAGGACAGAGTTCCCCCAGGGACGTGATAGGATGAGGGACGAGAGCACTCCCCTGTGTGGCTCCGATCCCTTCCCATCTGGGGGCTGACCAGATCTGGCTGGTGACCTCCTTTCTAGGTAACCTGAGTGCCAGCTACCAGGACATTGTCCCTGAGTGTGGCCCAGGGAGAGAGAGAGTAGCGAGTTGCAGGACCAGAAGCCCGGAGGATCAAGAAGTGCTTGCCTGGCACCTGCTGGTTTCCCCTGGGGGTGCTTTAAGTTCCAGGGCCCCAAGCAGGCCTTGAAGATCAGTCTTTAAAATGTCCTCCCAGGGGATCTTAATGGTCCTGTCACCTTATTTTTGTTTGTTTTTGAGCTGGAATGGGGTCTCGCTATGTTTCCCAGGCTGGCCTCAAACTTGTAGGCTCAAACAGTTCTCCCACCTCAGCTCCCCCCAAGCAGCTGGGACATGTTACACTGTGATTGGATGAGCCACCTTTTTTCTGAAGCTGAAGGGGCAGACAAGTTGGCAGGAGGGGTACAGTGAGAAGTCCCACTCAGAAGTGCTCTAGATCTGTGGCAGGGAGTGGAAGGAAGTGCAGGGGGCCGTAGGGTGCAGTGTAGTGTGGGCAAGGGGAAGGGAGAGAAGAGGCTGATAACAGAGTTAGCAAAGATCTCAAGGGACTTTCCCATTTCTAGCTGGGTGTAGTGGCGCACACCTGTAATCCTAGCACTTGGGAGGCTGAGGCAGGAGAATTTCTGTGAGTTCAAGGCCACCCTGGGCCACCTAGTGAGGTCAAGGCCAGCTCGGACTACTTAGCAAGACCCTGTCTCAAAAACCAAAATAAAAAATAAGATAATCCCTCCTGGAACTATGTGAGGGAGCCAGGGCCCCTGACCAAGGACATGCATGGGTCATATGTGAGCCACTGCAGGTGTGGCTGCACCTCTGGAGAGAGCTGTTAAAGAGGGTCACTCGGTCCCAATTCTAATGCCACTGGCTGCTGGGTCGGTACGGATTTGTGGTTCTGAGGGAGGCTCTGGGCTGAAGGTGACATCTTGCAGGTTCCCAACAGGAAGGGTTTCCTGGGCTGGAGCAAGAGGAGCAGGGCCGCTAAAACCAGATTGACAGAAGAAAGGCAGGAAGGTTGTCAAGAGGTGTGGCTTTCTGGTGCCCAGGGGGCTGCCAGCCTGCAGTATGGCCCGGTGCAGTGGGGCCAGTCCAGTTCCTGTGGTCTTCACAGTGGCGAAGGTGCTGCGTTCCTGCAGTGGCTAGCACATGGCTGTCCTTGGGAGCAGAGCCCTGTATCCTCTCCCTGGTGCCTGTGTGTCATGAGCTTGCCCCTTCCTGCTCCCCTGGCACCTGTCATGGGGGTCTAGAGGCCTCGCTGAGGAATCAGAGGTGGACAAGCAACAGGCACTCCAGTGGGGATGGCTCTGAGAACTGAGGTCAGTGGTAGAGGAGGGAGGGACTGGGGTTATTCGGGGCTGGGGAGTCCCCCAAGGAGTGGACCAGGTTCTCCGAATATGCACTGGAGGGCAGCATGGGGTCTAAGGAGCAGTGGCTGGAGCTGTGCAGAGCTCAGGGAAAGGCCAGATGTCCCTGAGACGGGCATCAAGGCCCTGTGGAGTAATTCCTGGAGAAGCCTGTGCAGGCAGCTGGGTGTTTGGGGGTCACAGACGTGGGGGCCTTGGCAACATCCCTGATTTGGCTGAGTTGTTGTGGGGCTTTCTGCCTGGACAGGTGTAGGTTTGGGAGACCAGAGTCCCCAGCCTTGTGGTCCTTCCCAGCCCCCTCGGACTTGACTCTGAGGTTTAGTGGTTCTCTTGGAGATGTAGGAGGGCTGGGATGGGAGCACGGCAGAGAGTCAGGAAGGGGAGAGGAGGAAGTGGGGGGTTGTGAACAAAATGGGCCCCACGAATGGGGGGATATAGAGAGAAGGGTGGGGAGGGACCACCGAGGGCAGGCGGAGGACACACCCTTCCCTGGCCAGCTTGTAAACGGGATGGGAGGACAGCTCCTTGCCAGCTGCTCCTCCTACCTGCGCTCACAAACACTCCCCCTCCTGTCATCCCCTCTCTTCTCTTTCTCCCAGCAGCACCCCCTGTCAGAGGAAAAAGGAAGCAGTCAGAGGAAGGTGACCCCATAGACTCCCCTGTGTCCCCCAGTCCTGATGATGAGCAGAGCAGAAGCCAGAGCCCGATCCAGCTGGAGGTGAGTCCCTGCCACCCTCAACCTGGGCTCAGCCTCCAGGGGACTCAGAGCCCCGAAAGCCCTGAGAGAGGGAGACATGTTCCTGTACCTGTCTCTGACACCGCAGAGCCACCAGCACCCTGCTTGGAAGGTGTAAGACCTGGGCGCTGGGCAGTAGATTTCAGACTTAGATTTGGTACAGAACCAACTTTTAAATGAAGACGACCTGGCGCTGATCCCAAAGCCGACAGAGGCGTGGATCTGTGACGTAAAACTGCGTTTACACCCATCTATCCACACAGGCAGCGCGGCCGAGGCTGGGTGGACAGAGCCCAACAGAGTGGCCCATGGTGCCAGGAGCACCTGTGTTCCTACAGCTTTTACCCTAGGGGCCCAGGGACACCGAGCCTGCCTCACAGGAGCTGGCAGAGAGGCCGAGACGAAGACAGAACAGATCAAGAGCAAGTTAAAGACGTGCTCCTCACCCAGAGAGGGCAGGGATGCTCCTGTGGTCCCCAAACCTTAGGCTCTGACCTGTCTTGGGTGCTGGGCCCCGGCAGCTGGCACCCATGCCTATGTGACCAGCAGCATCCCTATGGCCCAGGGCAGGGGCTGGGTGTCCTGGGAGCCTGGATGGGGGCCAGCACCCTCTCCACACCCTCGGCGGTCAACACCGCGCTCAGGCACTGGCGGCCAGGGCCCATCCCCATGCCTGCGTTCTTTTCCCAGGACTCCCCTGAGGCAGGCGGGGAGCGGGAGGAGGAGCAGGCCTTCCTGGTCAGCCTCTACAAGTTCATGAAGGAGCGGCACACACCCATCGAGAGGGTGCCCCATCTTGGATTCAAGCAGAGTGCGTCCCTGGGGTGCAGGCAGGGTCTCTGGGGGAGGAGGGGGGCCAAGCAGGGGACCCCACCCAGGCAGGGCAGTGGGGCCAACTCCTAGCTCCGGGTGACCCTAGGTGTCGCCCCCCTGAGGGGCGTCACAGGATCCCTCCCTGCAGGCTTGGGGCTGGTAGGGGCAGAGCTGGATTCCATCCCCATGGTCACCAGGTAACAGTGCTTAGGCCCAGCCTGCTGGTCATCGCGTGGGCCTGTCTGGGTGTGGGGGGCTGCCGAACTGACAGGTGCACTGCCCTGTCCCTCCAGTTAACCTGTGGAAGATCTACAAGGCTGTGGAGAAGCTGGGGGCTTATGAGCTGGTAAGCTGGGGACCCCTCCGTGTCTGTACCACATTGCCTCTCCCTGCACATCCCACTGTAGCCCAGGAGGGGCAGGGACAGGGGGCGAGCTACAGAGCTATCCGACTGCAAGCAGAGGAGGAAGATCCAGGGTCCCCCGTCTCAGCCCCAGCCACTGGCATTTTGCTGCTATAAGCAGGTTTCCTCTTCCCCACCTGTTCTGTCCTATGCTCCAGAGCTTCCTGGGCCAGCAGTCAGTCCGGTGGCCCTGGGAGGGGAGCTAGAGGGAGGCCCAGAGATCCTTCACCCACCTTCCCTGCTAGAGAAGTAGCCAGAAAACTGCAGTTTTGGTCCGGCCCTGCAAGGGGACCTGGAGCTGTACAGGGGTGCCCGTGGCTCTGGCCTCACAAGACGCTCTTGCAGGTGACTGGCCGCCGCCTCTGGAAGAACGTCTATGACGAGCTAGGGGGAAGCCCGGGCAGCACGAGTGCGGCCACATGCACGCGCCGCCACTATGAGAGGTAGGGAGGGAGTGGCCACCGCACCCTCGGGGTAGGACTGGGCTTCCTCTCCCACGCTTCCAAGAGGTCAGTACCCAGCAGAGGGGACAGGATGTATGTGCCAGCTGGCCGTGCAGTAGGCACACACGTGTGCTCCGTCCTCCAGGGCCCAGAGCTATGACAAGATGGGGACAGTCGGGTAGCCCTGCATGCTGTCTGAAGAGGGGGATCCTGGTGGTAGTGGTGATGGGAACCAAGGGCATAGAGGAGGCCAGACTGATGGGCCAGGGCAGCCCCAGCTCCTGGTGGACAGGCGTGGCTCCTCCCCAGGCTGGTCCTCCCGTATGTGCGGCACCTGAAGGGGGAAGATGACAAGCCACTGCCCCCCTCCAAGCCCAGGAAGCAGTACAAGATAGGCAAGGAGCCGAGGGGAGACGAAGGGGCCACTGAGCGGGTGAAGAAAACCAAGGAGGAGAGGCAGGTGGACCAGGTAAGCACCTAGTGTCATGGCTCCTGTCCCCTTTCTCTGGCAGCTGACTGTGGCTGGAGGGCTCCCAGGGCTGGGGCTGGGGGATGGGTTGGGTCTCTTGTGAATGGTGGCACACGTGGACTCTGAAGTCCAGCTAACGTCTGCTAACCAGACCCCCTGTCCTGATCCGAGGCTGTGTCCACTCACAGGACAGGGGCTTGCCAGGACCTTGTGTACCCCGGAGGTTCCCAGGGAGGATTCCTGGCCCAGGCCTGGTCCTGAGGCCCGGCTTTTTCTCTTTCCAGGTGACATCAGGAAAGACCAAAATGGATACCACTGAACTGGCTCTACTTCCCAGCCAGGCACCCCCTAGGTGTAGCATGGAGCAGCCAGGCCCAGCTCCTGGGTCCCCCTTGCCCTTCATGGGTGCTGGTATTTGTCCTGAGGCCTATAAGCGGCTCCTGTCCACCTTCTATGGCAAAGGGGCTCATGGAGTCATGTCGCCTCTGGCCAAAAAGAAGCTCCTAGCCCAGGTCAGCAAGGCTGAAGCTTTGCAGTGCCAGGAGGAGGGCTGTTGCCATGGGGCAGGTGGCCCTGATAGGGAGCTCCTGGAGAGCTCCCAGAGCCCAAGAGGGCTGACTGAGAACTCAGGGTGCCAGCCAGCCCCACTGGAGGGGTTGCAGGGCCCAGGAAACAGCATGGTGGGGGAGACTCCGGGGGGTCCCTGTGCTGCAGCCCCCATATTCATGGGCTCTTTTCACACCTGCCCCACTGAGGTGCTAAAACCTATCAGCCAGCACCCCCGGGACTTCTTCTCTAACCTGAAAGACAGGGTACTGCTAGGGCCCCCTGGCAAAGGGGAGGGGCCCCTGGCAAAGGCCCAGCTGGTGTGGGGCGGGGATGCCAGCCACCCCTCTGCATTCCACAAAGGCACCTCCAGAAAGAGCAGCTTCTTCCCCAAGCCCAAAGCCTGCTGGGTACCCCCCATGGCCAGAGTTCCTACTGAGAGCCCTGTGCTCCTGCCTGCTGTCCCCAACAGCCCAGGCCTCGGCAACAAGCGCAGCCTGGATGAGGAGGGCTTTGCCCACGGTGGCAAGAAACTGCGGGCAGTGTCTCCTTTCCTGAAGGAGGTGGACAACAAAGAGTGCAGGGCCAAGCCCTCGGTGCCTGGCACAACTGTCTCCTGCCTGCTGGGCCCAGCCCCACCAGAGACCTACAGGGGCACCATGCTACGCTGCCCACTCAGTTTTGCTGGCACCCCAGACCCACTAAAGAGCCAGGCCACACTGCCCTTCAGCCCCCTGGTCATCCCGGCCTTCCCGGCCCACTTCCTGGCCACTGCCAGCCACTCACCCGTGACCACTGGCCTGGTGCACTTCCCCCCAGCATCTTTCGACAGTGCCCTTCACCATAGACTCGGTCCGGTGTCGCCCGCCTGGCATGTGCCACCTGTCACAACCTACTCGGCACCGCCCTTCTTCCACTTGAACACCAAGCTGTAGGTCTGTGCCCACCACACCGTGTTGTGCTGTGGAGGGTTGAGGTGCCCAGAGATGGACAGGCACTGCTAGGGGGCTTTCTGCCCAGGACCTGTGGGCCAGGCAGCCTGGCATGAGCAAGGTGGCAGAGGGAAAACTGGGTTTGTCTCAAGGAAGCAGCCAAGCCCAGACGCTGGGGACCCAGGTGGGATGAGGCCTTGGGAGAGGACGTGCAGGGTTTGCAGTGTTCAGCTGGTTCCCACACACACAAACCAGGAGTCAGGTGAGGGTCTGAGGAGCCCATTGCAGCTCAGGGTGCCCTGTTGCCCACCAAAATCCAGTAAAAAGACACGGCCAGTCCTTTGTGAGGGCAGGTGGGCAGGATGAGATTGTGGGGCCACCCATGTGGGAGATGAAGAGATGCCATCTGGTGGTCTGGATGCCACCACCCCACAGAAGAGCGGCCCAAGCAAAGCCCAGCTTCTACACTCGTCCCTTAGACCTCCTGTCAGATCTGGTATCTTCAACCCACTTTCCTAGAGCTTACAGCCCTCCTGCAAAACCCCGGATGGTGGCAACACTCAGCTGACCCCAGGACTCCTGGGCCCCAGGACAGACATGCCCTGCATCTGCTTACCAGTTCTGGAGAGGGAAGTCACTTGCTTTGAATTCTCGCCCTGTTGCCCAGGCTGGTCTCAAAATTCCTGGGCTCAGTGATCCTCCTGCCTCAGCTTTCGAAACAGCTGGGACCTGAGGGTATAAACATGAAGCCAGCCTGTCACAGTCATGCACAGAGACCCATGGGCCCTGCTGATGAATTTGGTGGCCATCTCCACTTCCTGCCCTACATGGACAGCAACTGAAGCCACTGAGACTACTGGGGTCCTGGAGTGGTAAGGGAGAGGAGAGGCGGGGTGCTGCCTGGGCATCTGTTTTGGCAGTAAGCACCCGTGAGCTTCAGGTGCTTGCCTCAGGGAATTGGCATTTGCTCAGGAAAGCATCACACTGGGTCCCAGAAAGGCAGTGCCCCCTAACCCAGGGGATGCCAGGGTGACCCAAGAGCCAGGTCAGCAGATGGCCTTGGACCTGTGTCCTAGACCCTGCTCTGTCCTCAGACCTGGCTACAGGGATGCTCTGATCACAAACCACATACACCCTTAGTCACAGTGGGAGGCTGAAGCCAGGGCCAGGGTCACTAAGGTTGACAACCCAGGTCAGGGCACACACAGCAAGCTGCTGCTAGGGTTGGGTGGCCAGGAAGACAGCTGCCTGTGGTGCCACTGAAGGAAGTCCAGCAGCAGGGAGGTAGCTGCTGCCATGTGAGCATGGACAGGCTCTGCAGGGGCCTCTCACTTTCCTGCATCATTGCTGGGGGACCTCGGGATCCAGCCTGAGCATCTGCATGACCAGCCCTGAGCTCCCAACCCTGCATGCACCACATGCCGCCCCCACTTTTGGTACCTGGGATCGAACTCAGGACCTTGTGCTTGTGAGGCAGGTGGTAGCACCACTGGGTAAATCCTTGGCATTTTTCTTCAAGCCTGCAGATGCTGGTGGTGACAGAGAAGGGAGAGACTGTGCTCTGACCATGCTTCAGGCCAACACCCTAGGTGTTGGGCTGCAGTTCATGGGGGTAGCATCCCCTGAATAAGGAGCAGGTGAGGGCTGCCTGTTGGGTGTCCTGGCTGAGATGAGGCAGGGTCCCAGTGTCCTCTTCATCTGCAAAGCAATGCCAGTCTCGGCCTCACCCTCAAGGTGGAGGGTCCAGCGCCGGGACAGGGGCGCCCTCTGGAGACAGGTCTGGGGAATGCATTTGTCAGCCTCTTCCTTTCGAACTGTGGATACCTGGGTGGAAGGGGCCCGGGTGTAGGCGTTGAAGACCGGACAGCTGGGCGTAAGCCGGGCTTCCTGGGAAAGCTCGGAGGCCCTGAGTTCCAGTATGCTGGCCTTACATGGTCCTGGCTCATGCACTTTCCATGATCCCCTGGGGGAGGGACTGTCCCATTTACAAATGAGGACACATCCCAGAGGGATGAGGCCCTCTGGATGCCTGGCTGTGCCACCTTACCACATTCCTTTGCTGCATTCCTGATAGGCTGCCCTGGGGACCCACAGTCCAGCAGGGTCAACAGGGCCCATTTGTGGAGTGTAAGATATATTTCAGGGCCATTTTCAGGAGCCCTTCCAAAATGCCAGTGGTATTCGAGCTGCAGATAGAGTCAGGGACCAGACCAGAATCCACAGCAGAAGAGCGCTGACTGCTCCCCATGGTCACGACCCCTTTCCCTGGTAATAGCATAAGTGTGGGTAGGGACAGGTGTGAGACCAGGCATCGGGCAGACACTCAAGGCCTCTAACCTCTTGGTGCAGGCACTGCGGGTGAGGTGGGGGAGAAGCTGATCACTGAATCAGTGTCCTGGGGACAACTTGGACCAGGAGCAGGGAATGCAGTTTTTGTTTGTTTTTGGGGTTAAAATATGCTTGCCATTGTCACTATTGTAAGTGTACAGTTCTGTGGCATTAAATGTACACGCACTGTGTCAGCCTCACCACTTCTTTTTTCCAGGTGCGTAGTTTTAAATGGGTGAGAGATCATGTGACCTTTGGTGGGTGGTGTTGCACAACAGCTAGAGGTGACTGAGGGAGCTTCATGGGCACTGGAGGAGAAGCAGAGGCACCCAGTCCCCATGGTGGTAGCAGGAAGGTGGGCCCAGGACCTGGGGGCATGGAGGTTGGAGCAGTGATTGTGCCTGTGTGCATGTGCGTGGCTTTTCCTCAGTGTAAGGGGACAGCAGGGAGTGCCCTGGCCTCCAGGATTTGCTGGGGCTGGGCTGGGCCTGGGCCTCTGGCCTTGTTCTGCCACTGCATCCCCAGCTTGCACTCCAGTTTAAGAAGAGCCTGGGTTTTTGGGTAGGCTCAGATGTTGGGGCAGGGAACCTGTCCCAGGAGGATGGGTGTCTGGGCTCAGGTCCTGGCTGGCTGGGGCTGTGGGCCTTGCTGACCAGTACCTGCATTGCACAGTGAGGTTGAGGACTAGTGTCCTCATAGAGCAGAACAAGGCCACACTGGGACAGTGCCCTCCAGGGTTTCCAGAAACCCAGATCCAGCTGGAGGTTAGAGTTGTGTACCCTGCTGGGTGCAGACTCGGTGTCAGGAGCAGGTCCCAGCCAAATGGCCAGCCGAGGGCCCAGGGAGTGTGGGGGTGGGGCCCATGGACTTGGGTCCCAGTGAGCTCTGGGAATTGGGAAAGGGCCCATGTTTGAGCTGGGCCTGATGCAGAGAGGGCTGGCTAGAAAGAACAGTTAAGGGTGTGTTCACAGGGCAAGGTGTGCCGTGCAGGGCAGTGGGGTCTGAGCCAGAGTGTGGGGAGCCTTGAAACCACTACAGATGAGGACAGGGGGTGGTGGGCAATCACAGTGAGCCAGGGCAAGTGGTCAAGGATGCCATTCAAGGGCTTTGACTCAGAGGTGGCAGAAACAGGTTCTGGGCAGTGTGGAGAGATGGCCCACACTGGGGGGGTGCCCAGGAGTGGTCTGCAGGGTGGGCAAAGCCTCAGCATGGCAGGGTGGACTAGAAGGGCAGTGGCACCCAGCAGGGAAGGGAGAGACTTTAACAGATCTGGGAGAATTTAGACCCAAGACCAGAAGCCACTGACAAAGGTTTGATGTGTTTAAATGTTTTTTTTTTTTTAAATATAGAGCCAGGCGTGGTGGCACATGTATGTAATACCAGCACTAAGGAGGCTGAGGCAGGATTGCTGTGAGTTCAAGGCCAGCCTGGACTCCATAGTGAGAACCTGTTTCAAAAAAAAAAATCACATATATATATATTCCACTAAAAAAATGGATGTGCAAGTCAAGAAAACTTTATATAAAATGTACATAAATATTATAGTACTCAGTTTATTTACCTTTGTGCTCTACAATTACAAGAGGTGCTCAAAATTGTTGGCCATTAGCTTCCATACAGTATTTTTTTTCAGACATTATTTTTCTATTCCTGCAGTATTATACAGCTTTTGGTGGACTCTGTATATATGTAAGTATATACGTTGGCAACAGCATTAAAAAATCAATTTTCACAGAAAAAAACCTTGGATAATGGGATTCTCTTGAATAATCCAGAATTTGGCCCCATGAGACCCCTTCCTGAAACTGAGGTATGGCTGCTCCCCTGTCTGTCCCTTAGCTGGGATCTCCACAGTCCCCCTGCCCCAGAGAGCTGGCCCTGTGGTCCTACCTGGACACCCACCAGGTTGTGTCCTGCCATGGCCCAGACACTAGGTGGCGACTTTCACTCTTCCTGGTCATCAGATGGGCCAAGGAGGGTTTCCCAAGCAAAGGACTCCAGAACATCCAGGGTGCCCCTGCTCTACACTCAGAGGTCACTGCAAAGTCACTGGGCCAACAGGGCCAGGCAGAGGGTGGACAGGGACTGGCGTGGGCTCCCAGCTTCAGGCTCCTGAGGTCTGAGCAGCCTCAGCTTGCCTGGCTCTCATGCCCACATCTGAACGATGGTCATGATCGTTTACAGGTTCACGGCTCACAGTGAGGGTATAGGGCTGGTGGAGTCCCGGATGCACTCCTAGTCCCATGAGGGGTAGCCCTGGTGCCCCAGCCCCTCTAGGTCCCCAGCCAGTTCTGGAAAGGCTGCATTGCATCACTGGCTACAACAAGATTCTTGCCACTGCCCAGCAGTGACTGTGGTTCCCCAGGAGAGAGAGGGAGCTGGGAGAGAGGGCAGGGCGGAGAGGATGGGCAGGGTTCTCAGGAGGGACAGTCTCCCCTTGGAAGCTGGGGGCTCTTGGCATGGAGCTGGAGCCAATCACAGCCCCTAGAACCAGTCTGCCAAGGATCAGTGAGTCAGTGATGGTTCTCAGACCCTTTCCTTGCAAGCGCAGGAAGAAAGCCTGACCTTCAGCCCCAGCTATTCAGGAGGCTGAGGAAAAGGAAAACCCAACATCTACAAACAGAGGATATAGAAGACTTTATTTGTACTGGAAATGTGGCTGGGTGATAAAGGGGATGCTTAGTTTCATCCCAGTACCAAAAAAAGGAGGAGAGGGAGGAAGGAGAGAGAGAGAGAAGAGAAAAGAGGGAAGAAAATTTAGTCTCAGCAGCTAGCAGAATATGGGGTATGGTTAGGTGGGCTGGGGTGCTACCATGAGTGAGCTGGTGCCGCCTCTCCTGGAACAAACCGTGGCTGTGGGCATCTGTGACACCAGGCAGGGGCTTGATCTACATTACAGTGGGAGTATTTACACTACCCAGAAAACAGCAAGTACACAAATTGGGGCTCCCCCTCACCCACCCACTAGCCAGTGGTCAGACATCTTTTTATTTTTGATACTGGGGATCGAACTCATGACCTTGTGCTTGTGAGGCAGGCTTGGTACCACTAAGCTAAATCCCCAGCCATAGACATCTTGCTTTCCCTGTCCACAATGAACTCAGGAGAGAGCTGAGCCCAAGTCCCATGCTTCCCCAAGCTGGGCCATCAGCTTAGAGCAGTATGTCTGTCAGGTAGTCTAAAACCTAATACCCACCTACCCAGACCCTGTTTCAGCCTCTGTGAACTGGAAGAAAATCACTGCAACCTAGAGTCGTGGGTAGTTAGCGCAACTGCTATGTAAACTAAAGCTCTGACAAGCTGAGTCATCTCTGCTTTCTTTGCCCGAGGTTCTGCCCTGGCAGCTTGACCAACCCTGCCCTGCCCTTCACCTTGCTGCTTTTGGAACTTTGACATGTGTTGTGACCACTGCCCTCCCACCAGTCTCTGACTCACAGTCGCCCCAGCCTTTGGATCTTGTCTGAGTCTAGGTCAAGAAAGCAGGTTGGTTTTCCCTGGGTAGCAATGGACTAACCAATCGTGGTCGGTTGTCTGCAGCTTTGGGCTGACTCAGGGTGAAAGTGATGCAATTGATTAGTAATGTCTGCTGGGGCCTGGGAAAGGGAACAAGGCTCACCTGCTATTTAGGTATTATCTCTGCATCCATGATGATCCAGCTGATGGCAGATGAGGAGCTGGTGAATGCAGGTCCCTGCCTTCTCTGCCACATCTCAGATGCAGCACCAGCACAGTGCTCCCTGGTCTCCTCCCACATGAGCAGGATCCCAGCAGCCTAGGTAGACACCATGCTCCCAAGAGCCCATGAGCTACTGAGTAGATCCTGAGTAGTAATTGAGGAGGTGGCCATGAGCCCTGAGACCTTCCTCAGCTCTGGAAGAACACTCTGGTCCTGCATCTGAAGTCTCCCTATTGGCTCACCAGTTCCCCCAGCCTCACCCAGAAGTCTCTTCTGGGGAGTTCTTCTGATCTAGGTTCCCATCCCATGCGCCCCACAGCACCCTGTGCCTCTGCTTCCCCACACTGTGCCCTGCCTAGACATTGGGCTCCTGTAAGCAGCTGGGTCTTCATTCATCCTCAGCCCCGATTTACGTAGCCCTGTATGACAGGGGTGCTTGTCTCACCCAGATTATAAGGATGTGTGTGAAGCACACACATGAACACACCCCAAAACACCCCTGAGGTCCCCAGCTGCTCTGCAGGGCTCCTGGAGGGCCTGACTCACTCAGCAGCCACCCCCAGGCTGTGCCCCTTCCTGGCCAGATGCTGGGTGGCCTGGGGGAGTAGCTCTTCCCACCGGTGACCTGGTCCCTCCCCAGCTGTCTCTGAGAGGAAATAGAACCCACTTTGGACTCTTCCTAAAATAAATACAGGCCACGCCCTGCCTCACCCTTCTGTGCACAAAACCAGCACCAGGCAGGGGTACTTAGGGGAGAGTTTATCCCAGTTTCAAGACTGCAGCCACAAATGGCTCAGGAAAGTACTTCTCAATCCTGCCACACATCAAGGGCCCCACTTGGGGTCCAGGCCTCCGGTGTGCAGACGGCTGCACCCTAGGAACTTGGAGCCAAAGTCACGCCTGACTCAGAAATGAGGAGCCCATCTTCCTTCACCCTTTCTGGAGGATTTTCTCTTTAAATCTTTATTTGTGGCCCCCAAACTTACCTTCTGCTGTGGACAGTTTTCCACCTCACCTCTTCCTGTGCGGTCAGTGAACATGGCTCGCACAGGTTGAATTTTGCCCCCGCCCCATAGATGTTGAAGTACTAACCTCTAGCTCCCCTGAATGGGACTTTACCTGGAATAATATCCTCGTAGTGAAGATGGTGTGGGGGGGGGCCCAATCCCAATCTCAATCCCATGAAAGAAGATGGCCATGAGACAGCAATGTAGCCAGAGATGGTGGAGAACCATGGGAGCTAGGGAGAAGTAGTGTGGACTCCCCCCAGCACTCCCAATTTGCACTCTAGTGCCGTAGCCACTGTTGCCTAGGTGCCTATAATCCTGGCTCTTTGCAAGGCTGAGGCAGACAATCACTATGAAATTGAGGCCAGCCTGGTCTACATTGTGAGTTCAAGGCTAGCCTGAATGACACAGTGAGACCCTGTCTCAAACCACGCAAAAAAAACAAAAACAACCCCCCCCAAAAAAAAACCCAAACCAAAAAACCCCCCAAACAAACAACATAACTAGCCATCATTTTGGGCCGCCCAGAGGGTAATGTGTCTACGTGAGGAGCATCACTCCCAAGAGACAGTGAAACCTCAGGCAGGCAGCCGCTTATCAGGTTCTAACTTGCTCCAGGCTGTGCTCCACCATCCCAGCGGGAGCTCCCAGATGGAGTCAGTTCTGTTCACAGCCCCAGGTCCCACAGGCTGAGGCTGAGGGAGATAAATGAGCTACCCGAGGTCTTGGTGGGGGCAGAGCTGGGATCTGAACC